GCGACACCTTAAAGGCCGGTCCATGAAAATATTGTCGGGCATAAACCGGTCCGTGGCGCAAAAAAGGTTGGAGACCGCTGCTCTTAATTGGTGTGACACGTGTTCGAAATGCAGAGAGGTGCGCTCGATTTGCCACATGGAGCAGCGCGAGAGTAAAGCACGAGGGAGGGGCTAATAATCGGCTCAGTCATTTTTAATGATCGTTGAAAGCCCAGATCGTAATCGAGATTAAAATTCGATTAATTGAGCAGCCCTGCAGACCGCCTTCTCCAAAACAGTCAAATTAGAAGAGAAACACCCCTGTGCAAAGCTCCACTGAGGTCTCCATGTGTGCGCCCCAACACTCATAGGAAACAGACCTAGTTCAACAGTTCCTATTAACTGTGCTTGGAGAGCAAATACTGTCTGAAGTTGAACGCAGAAGCTAAGATGTACACAAATGCTCATTCGGCCGTGAGGAGCAGAGCGAGGTCAGGTAGCCAACCACAGCTGCACACGAAGTGAGATCATAATCATTCTAACTGGCCTCCAACTCGACTTCTAAAAAACAAACAGTGCCGCTTCATTTAGTCGAATGCATTACTGATGCATTATTCCCAGTCTGTGCATGCAAACTCGCCTGGTAACGTGTTTCTCCTTCCATCTGCTCCAATGATGACATCAAACTCCAGCTCGCTGACGGGGTGTGTCCTAGGGTGGATCTCAGCTCTCCAGCCAATTCCTAAGAAAACACAGAATGTGTAATCGGACAGAAATGCATTGACAGAGTCGACACTCATAGGCTCTGACAGATAGTTTCGTGCACTTTTGGACACATTTGGCAGCAGCTCCATTTACTAACTTTCACTTTCCTGATCTTCAGGAGGCTCAATAAGGCTTTTAAACTCTACGTTCACATGGATCTCGATGCCCAGCAGAAGTGCCATTTTGAGAAGCATAAGCTGAAGCTGACGAATACCTAGAACACACACACAGAGAAAGAATATGTAAATTAACTTTGATATATTTCTTATTAGTACAAGTAGAAGAGCTCAAGAGAATCACGTCTACTCACTGATATGATCGATAGCACCAGCACAGAACTTCCCATAGAACTTTTTGGCCCCAAGACCCCTGAGATCCTGGATGGTAAAGGGCCAGAGGTGCAGCACATTGTTTCTGGAAAAGGCATCTCTCTTCTCCAGAATCACAACTTTGGCCCCCAGGAAAGCTAGCTCGATGGCTGTACGCAGGCCACATGGCCCCGCACCAATGATCAGACACTAAATAGAAAATGAGACAGAAGTTTCAGACAGGTTTTAAGGAAGCAAGTCGAATCTATTCTTAACTTGCTTTCTTGCTCGACTCATAATCCACCTATTCAAGCTTCAGTGTGTAAAACCCCACACTAGCATCTAACACTCAACTTAATAAAACGGTCTAGCCTACAACTGTTTAATAGGCTTTACCATTATAAGATACAGCTATCTTCTACTATAATTATGAGCAACTTTGTGAGAAAACCACTCATTTCCCTAACTACAAAGCCCAAAGTGAAGACATCTCCGACCTAGTGGAAGAAAAATAAAGATATCAACTAGGGGTGGGCGATAGAACCGATATAAATTTGGCCAACGATAGAGATTTTGACTATACCGCTCTATCGCGATAGCGCATGTTGATGATGTCATCAAGCT